AGTCTTATTTTGGGCCCACCCAAAACACTTGTGTTTGGGGTCTGCCCAATAGCTTGTGTTTTTGCTTAGTTTAAATTTTATTGAATGTTTATACTTGCATGCTGATATACATCTCAAACAACCTACATATGAATGGGCCAGTCAGCTTGTACCCTAGTTTGAACTCAAAATAATATGAACCTCACAGAGACTTGAGAGGGAGCCATGCCTTTTTTTTCTACCTCTCTCCTCTGCCAAATGACTTAATAAAATTCTATCTTGAAATTTTTTTTTTTTAGATTTTGGGTTTTGTTTTTGACCAACAGGATCTGGCAAAATGTTCCAAAAAGGTTAAGGACAAGGAATAATAGAAGGCCACTGAATTTAGCAATTAAGACAGTCATTGGTGACCTTAAAAAGAGCTGTTTTAGTAGAAGGGTAAACAGATGACAAGAAGTAATGAAGTGAAGGGTAAGTAAAGGAAGTCAGGTAGTGCAGACTACTCTTTTATTTATTTACTTTTTTGTTTTTGTTTTTAGGAAATTGGGTGTAAGTGACTTTCCCAGGGTCACACAGCTAGTAAGAGTCAAGTGTTTGGTCTGAGGCTGGATTTGAACTCAGGTCCTCCTGACTTCAGGGCCAGTGTTATATCCACCGTGCCACCTAGCTGCCCTGCTAGACTACTCTTAACCTTATTAATAGAATATACTTTAGGTTGAATAAATAGAAGCATAACATTCATAGTGAAAAAGATGATGGTCATGGTGTACTCTGACCCAGATGGCCCACCTATAAAGTGTTATTTTCGGCGTGAGGTACCTCATTTTAAAAAGGAAATTCATATGGCTATAAGTTGTATAAGTTTATCTACTTGAGAACTGTCTGTTTATTTCCTTCAACCATTTATCAGTTATGAGCTAAAATATATCCAAAGAACGTTGAACAGTATGGTAAGGGGATTGAAAACTATGCTATATGACCTAGATACCTAGGCAGTTAAATGGTGTGGTGGATAGAGCACTGGACTCAGAGTTAGGAAGATTTGAGTTCAAATCTGACCTCTGACACTTATTACCTGTCTGACCCTGGGCAAGTCACCTAACTTCTGCCTGCCTCAATTTCCTTAATGGTAAAAAAGGAATAATAGCACCTGCCTTCCAGAGCTGTTGTAAGGATTGTCAGGATCCAAAATCACCCCTCTCTTTTTTACTATTAGGAGACACCCTATTTTCCAGAGCAAAGGCCCAACAAGCAAGCTGTGCCCTGAGTGTGGAATAACAACAATTCTTTGTGCTCACCCACTGGATGAACACCACTACAACTAAATCACAGAACTGATGGTCCCTGAGCCTGGGCAAGCACCAACAGACCCAGGCATGAAGCCCTGTGACGAATGGACTTTTTGTCACTAGATAACCTTGCCTCATTGTTACTGTTGTGCCTCACTACTGTTGCTACACTACACTGTTTCATTCTTTATCAAGCTGCAAATATAGAAATCAAGGCTTAGCCCTACTTTTCGGGTCTCCTACTAGAGGAGGTCCTGACACGTGTCTAATATCTATCCCTCAATAGGATAAGAAAGCTTTTTGTTTTTAACCTGTGTAAGCTCTTTGGTATTTTTGGAGTTAACAGTGGTTGCAAAACCTCTGTGACTCTAGATCAAATGAGGTAATATTTGCAAAGGACTGAGCACAGTGTCTGTAACATAGCAAGAGCTTAATAAATGCTTTCTTCCTTCTTGTTTGACCCTGTGTAAATCACTTAACTGCCATCAACCTCAGTTTCCTCATCTGTTAAGATGAAAATAATAATAGCACTTACTTTACAGGGTGGTTTTAAGGAGATAATATATATGAAGTGCTTTGTAAGCTTAAAAAGCACTATATATGTATATTACATATATGTTAACTATTATTCTATTATGATCATTTTAAGGAAATGAGTCCATTTGGCTTGCAAAACAAAAGAATTGGGGGAGGGGGGAGAAGACAAAGACATATCAAAGGCTACCATTTGGAAGAGAGCTTGGGTTCATTTTTCACAGAACCCAGAACCCAGAACCCAGATCTGCTAGCAACTGGTAGAAGTTGTAGATAGGGAGATTTCAGGCTTAATGAAAGGAAAAACAAGTAAGGCTGTCCAAAGTGTAATGAGCTCTGGGAAGTAGTGGGTTCTGTCTGCCTCAGGAGAGGTGTTCAAGCAGAGATCAGATGAATACCCGTTAGGAAGCTTATCAAAGGGATTCAGTTTCAGGTTTAGGTTACATAAGATGACCCCAGAGCACCTTCTCACTCTGAGATTCCATCCTTCTATTGAAGTCTGAATCTCTGACCCATGAACCAGAAAACAGCCCCACATAACTCCCTATGAAATTCTTTAGGGGTTTGGTGAAGAAGAGCATAAAGCAAGCTGTCCTGTTTTCTCCCATCTTCATAAGCATACTAAGTAAGATGACACATGGTTGCTCTGTTTAAGCTTCTCTTGTGTGTGGGTGTGTTGCCATGGCACCTACCATTGGCTCCTCCCCCCTTCTCTAACAAGTCCCTGCATCTTTCTAGAAGAACTGCAAGAAGCCAAAGGATAAGAAACTAGCAGAGGAATGATTCTTTCTATCATTTAGCACAATCCCTGGCACATAGCAGGTATTTAACAAATGCTTGCTGATTTTATCTAGGCATAAGCCAGGTTGGCCATGGACAAGTGGACATTTTCCTGCCCACTTGGGAATGCACGCTTCCTGATGCTGGAGAAGATGGTCTAGTCCTTAAGTACACAGAGTAATAAAAGCAGCTTAAATTGTACACAGATACAACGAGAGAATAAGATGTGTGCAATCAGCAGTTTTGTTCTATAGCAACCATATCCATTTGTTTGTTTTTTATTTCAATTTCTTGTGGTTTCCCATCTTGCACCATTAAAAAAAAATGAACACCAAACTTTTCTCCCATTGTAGTCAGGGTGTGGGGGGCAGTGTCAAATTCATTTAATGGTTATTTTGGGAGAGGTGGAATGCCAATGAACTGTTGGACATTAACCGAGTTTTTTGGCCTCTGAGGAAGGAAAGAAAGGGAGAACCCTGTGGTAATAACAGGTTTACAGAGTAGATGTTTTAGCATATAGTGAGTGAGTAGGTTTGCAGAAACAATTATTCTCTATAAAGCCTGATATTAAAAATAGAAGAACTGTTATGATTAAAGATATTCTGTTAATGAAGGGCAGACTTGGAACCATGCCTGTGTTGGCTTGAATCCTACAGGAAGATGCTGTCATCTATCTACTGGCCAGGTGTAAAAGAGAGTAGAGGCACTTGTGGCTGGAGATCAATTCGTATGTAACCTGATACAGAATTTGAGGAGGGACATACATAAAACTGGGGGTGTTCACTGGTGGTTATTTTTTCATTTGGCTTTTCTATAGCATCTTGCATAATTCAGATGCATAATAAATGTTTGTCTTTTTGAATTGAAATTCTATCAGCTGGATAAGCTCTATCTTTTTTGGCAAAAATACCTGCAAATATTTAACATGATCAAAAAAGCTGAAAAGTCAAGTCAATAAGCATTTATTAAGTACCTACTATATGCTAGGCACTGTACTGTATTGGCATGAAAAAAACCCCAAAACAAATAAAAAAAACAGTTCCTGTTTTCTAGCAGCTCAAAATCTAATGGAGGAGACAATAAGCAAACAACCATTTGCAAAGATACAACATACAGGATAAAGTGGAGATAACAAACAAGGAGAGGGTAATGACCGATGAGTGGGAAGGGAGGGGGCTGGATCAGGAGCAACAGTTTATAAGCAAGTCCTGGATAACATGTTGTAGACAAGACAACTGTATTCAATTAAAAAGCCTACTAGATTCAGATTGGAGGTGATAACCAACTTGGTTCAGATGACTGATGCTAAATCATACTTTTCTTTCCAAAGATGAAAGATAGACAATAGTTTGAAATGTTACATATACATATATATATGTATGTATGTATGTATGTATGTATGTATGTATGTATGTATGTACACTGTCAGCTATGGCCATTAGATGGGCTGGTTTTGCTTAGTATTTGTTGTTATAAGAGAAGCTAAGTGTGTGGAAAGTGGTGCATTACTATGTTCAAAAAAAGCATCAAAAGGACATTTAAAAAAGCCAAACAAGTACAGAACACCCTGTGAACTAACTCAGATTTTGGAATCCAACATCTTGTTTTCTAGGGAGAGCAGTCAAACAGAACATTTAAAGCTCTATATCACACCTTAAATACAATTATGAGCTCTCCGAAGTGGTACAGTGACGGGCTTGAAGTCAAGAAGACTTGAATCCATCCTCCAAAGCTTATAAGCTGTGGGACCTTGACCAAGTCACTTAACCTCTATTTCCTTAACTGTAAAATGGGGATAATAATAGCATCTACCTCGCAGTGTTGTTGTGAGAATCAAATGAGATATAATATTTGTAAAAGCATCTAGTATAGTGCCTTAGCACATATTACGCACTATGTAAACACTTATTCTTTTCCTCCTCCCCTCCCTCCTTTCCTGTATTGTAGCCTCCTATTGACCTGAATAAAGGTCAGTTTTCTCTTACTGTTACCAAAGTTGTCTGGTTCATTTCGCTCCTTCTTGACTTTCTTATCAACTGAGCCTTAAATAAGCTCCTTCCTTCAAATAGCAAATCTCTTTGATTGGGAGAAGGAGAAAGTGATTTGTGGGAAACTCCCAGGAGCCTCTTATCTATTTCAAATGAAAAGTATCATTACCTTGATTCAAGGATCTCTGCTGAGATTCAGTCCAAAATGGTTTCTTTGAACATCACTTTCCTGTATGGTAGAATTCTGCAAGTTTTACAGTCTTCTAGCACAAAGCCCATTATTTCAAATTATGCTTATGAAATATTAGTCAGGAATCTGAATGGAATGAAATTTATGTTCTATTTCTGATAAGAGGGAAAAAATCAGTTCTTCAAAAGATCTTTTTAACATACTCTATCTTGTTAGCAGGAATGAAATAGGTATACATACCTGGAATCCTATTGAGCGTCACCCAGAAATGCTCATCAGGACTGTAGGTGTCCTTAGACCATTGCATTAAATCAATGGCCCTTTGATCTTGGAGAACAAAATTGATAAACTCCTTTGTAAGGGCAACATAAGCAGAGCCAAAGTAAATCGTCAGATTGTGGGGGGAGGTGGGGTTTTTAATGCTTGGGTGTTTATTACATAAGATGCCTCTGGACTCAGATGCTCTCTATGGATGTATTTTGTCCTTTCAATAGCATGTGCAGGAGGCAGCACCCCTGGGGTGATATTTTTCCCTTTAAATCCTTTCAAATGCTGGATTATTTCCTTGTTAGTTTTCAGGGGGAAATCTTGTCCACAAGTGTTGATGAGGTACTTCCACTGAACCTTAGAGGCCACAAGGTCTTTCATGCAGTTCAGGTCAGCCTGGAGCCTGGATATTCCACCATAGACTATTGGCTCCATCTTGGAGGCAAGGAAAACATTGGGGAAACAGCCCACCAATCTTCCCACAGCATCTTTAAACTCAGCTGTTGCCTTTTCATCCACATGAACACAGTAAACATTTTGGGGCATGTAAACTGCCCTGAAGAGTCTCTCAAAGGTTTCAAAATCCTTATGTATGACCATTGCATAGGCCAAAGGAAACTCAGCCTCCCTTCTGAAAGAGTGCTTGTTATGTAGTGACTTTGGAGCAAGTAATCCTTGCAAGATTTCCCAGATACTGTTAGCGTGTTTTCCCATAGGAAAGATGTTTTCCCTTTGATAAATGAATTGCAGACTTTGGCTAGAACTAAAGCGTTGGTTATATTTAGCCTCTGAAGGCTTTGGTCGTTATATAAATTAAACATGTAGAACAGAATAAAAATAACTACAGTAAAAATAGGAACTACAAAAAGATAATGCATCAACGAAGGCATGTTTCAAAGACAGTCAAAATCATGAAGTGCTTGCTCCAAACTTACTTTTCCACCTGAGTTGGTATTTTGGTCGGAGCAGCTGCCTCTCTCTTCTGCCCAGGAGGACGCGGAGTGCTCACTTTCCACCTCATTCACGGAGCCTGGCTGCTGTTTCCCTCCCCGAGCTGACATTAGGAACCGTTCCCTCCTCTTTCCTCTGCCTCTCTCAAACCTTCTTTGTCTAAATCCCAGTAGCAGGTTGCTTAAGCCCAGCCTATTTTTCCCTGGCTCCCCGTTTGCATCTGCAAGCTGTTTTTCCGTAGGTCGGAGCAACTCTGAACTCCCAGGACCCGCTTTTCCTTTCTACATTCGCTTGCCGAGTATTTTTCTTTTGATATTGTCCTTTTCTAGGGAAAGGGGAGTGGGGGAGGCTACCCTTTAGGAAATTAACATAGTGAAAGTCAAAATCTTAATGCCGAGTTCTGGCAAGCAAGCCTATTTCCTGCTAATCATTGAACAGGCTGTAGCACTTCTCCCCCCACCTCCCACCCTCTCACAGCGCTGCCGTAACATATAACTTATCTTCTCTCATGTCGTCGCACAGGCAAGCTGACAATTGCACAGACAAGCAGCTCACACTACAGAGTGTGAGCCAGTTTTCATTTGCGGCTGCTACAAACTTCCTCTAAAGGATTTGTAAAAGGAAAACAGAAGCATCACTGAGATAAAACAAGGAAAATTTCATTTAAATGTTTTTTCTTTCCCTTTCCTCTACTGGAATAAGAGCAACGCAAATTAAGGATCTAGAGCATAGATCTGTGCAATGACTTGTTTATGTTGGCTAAATAATTCATGCTTCTGGTAATTTTCATGGAAAAACTCCCTAGATTCTAAATGGGTACTGGAATAATGCTTGGAACAGAAGTTGCCACACAACCAGTGCATGATAACTTTTAAGTCTAGGCTGAGTACCTTATTTGCCTAAATATTGTTTTTTTTCCCCCAGAGGTACTCACCACCAACATTTTGTGCTTCTGAAGAGGCAATTTCCTCTAAAAAAAGAGAGCTGGTCTCTGAGGAAAATGTGGGCCTGAATTATGGCAGTTAGATGGTACAGTGAATACAGTGCTGGGCCTAGAGTCAAGAAGACAGGAGTTCAAATCCAGCCTCAAACACTTACTAGTTATGTGGCCCTAGCCAAGGCACTTAACCTCTGTTAGCCTCAGTTTCCTCATCTGTACAGTGAGGATAATAACAACATTTAACTTGCAGGATTGTTGTGAGAATCAAATAATATTTGTAAAGTGCTTAGTACAGAGCCTGGGTACTATTATATAAAAGGTTATTCCCTTCACCACTTTCAAAATCATGCCTCTGACACATACTAGCTACGTACCCTGGGGGAAGTCATTTACCCTCTCAGTGTACCAGTTAACTTTCTAAGAGGATATATAAGTTTCAGAGCAGGTAGTGACTTGCATTGGTGGAGGGATGTTCCTCACTGAGCATCCTCTATATCAATGAAATCTCAGGTCTGATAAAAAAAAATCCTTGAAACAAAGCTCACATTACTTTCAACTCCTGAACTCCTTTATACTATTTCTCTCTTTCTTACCTGAGATAATCCAGTCAACATCTTCACCCAATTCAACTTTTGATCTTCTGGCTATGTAGTATTATCCATCCCCAACTAGAAACCTTTCCATGCAGGAAATATCCCTGTTCTTCTCACCACCTTTTAAACCCTGTCACTCTCTACACTTTCCTTAATAACAAACGATGCTCTGATTCTTTATTGTCTCTGTGTTTTGTAAGATTAAGAAAAAAAACAAAACATATGTCAATTCTCATGGTGTAGAAGAAAATGAGTAAGTACCATATGTAATCCTAGTCATGGAAGGGATATCAATATCAATGGCTTCCATTTAAATATGTATAGATGATATCTTCTAGCCTAGAAGATATTTTAACCTTGATGGAAACTAATTTGTTAGAGATAGCCCAGTATTGCATCAAAGTATATCTACTTGGTTTAAAGTGAAGATACTTGTTGACATTACTTTTGTAATTCAGATCAGAGTATCTTGTTGGATCTTAGGTTTTAGAGCTAGAAAAGCCCTCAGAGATCACCTCCCAACCTCCTCCTTTTACATAGGAGGGATTGGAGGTCCCAAAAAGGGAAGTGACTCTCCCAAGGAGGGAGTACCAAAGCTAGGAAAAAGGTTGTTTGTTTTTGGTTTTGGTTTTTTTGAAAGCTCAAATTTTCCAAACTATCAGTCTACATAGAGCAATTCATCATAGAAAGCCATGACTCAGGGTCATGAAGATCTCAGTTCAAATCCCAATAAAGACATTTCCTAGCTGAGAGATCTTAGATCCCTTACCTTTCTCTATTTGTAAAATGGAGATAATAATAACCATTCCTAATGTGGTTGTTACTCACATCTTCAAGTGCTATGTAAATACAAACTATTATTGTTATTATTCAGGACTATGGCCAGATCTCCATTTCACTCTTTGTGTTAAATCTCTTTCCTCACCTAGGCTAGATTAAATCTTAACAAAACATTGCCCAAAATGACACCATAGTAATTGCATTTTTTATTTTCATAAAGCAGAACCACATGGACAATTTGGAATATACATTCAAAATGTACCAATAAGTTAGAACTAATTATGAAAGAAAACCAAGAAAATGCCTTTCTTCCATTATTCTTTACTTTGTTTTCCATCCTTCCTTGAACAGAGCTTTAACAGTCAAAATAGTACTGTCCCTTCCATGCCAAAGACTTACATCTCAGTATTTTTCCTCTATGTACTCTCAGTGGAAGATGAAAGATCTGATGACAGGTCCTGTTGACTTTTCCTCCACAACCTCTCTTGTGATTATGCTTGTCTATTCTGGTTCAATGGATAGAGCTCTGGGGCTGGAGTCAGGAAGACCTGAGTTCAAATTTGACACCAGATACTCACTAACTGTGTGACCCTGGTCAAGTCATTTAGCCTCTGTTTGCTTTAATCCACAGAAGGAAATAACAAATCACCCCGGTATCTTTGCCAAGAAAATCCTATATGGGGTCATGAAGAGCTGGATGTCCCTAAACTACTGAACAATAGCAATTCTATTGTTAGCATAATTCAGCTTGTAGCAGGTCAGGTTATCACTTCTCATCCAGATTATCAATATATCCTCCCCAACTTTCCATCTTTCTCCTCTCCAACTACTTACCACACAGCTTCCAAAGTAATATTTCTACATGTGCAGGGATTATATGAACACAACTGCAAAATACTAATTACAGAAATAAAGACACACAAATAATTGGAGGCCTTAATTGCTCATAATTGGGCTATGCCAATAGAATGAAAATGACAGATAATATTATCCCAATACATTTTCAGTTTCCAAAAAGTTATTGTGTGGAATCAGAAAAAACCCCCCACCAAACTCCCTTTGGAGAAACAAAAGATAAATTATTTCAAAGTAAACAATAATGTTTAAAAAGGTGTGAAAAAGGAAGTCTAGTAGTACTAGATCTCAAACCATGGTCCCAAGTAGTAATCATCAAAATTGTCTGATGCTCATTAAAGAGCAGAAAAATTGATTAGTCAAACAAATTAGGTACACAAGACTCCTAAGCACCATACCTAGTGGCATAGTGTTCAGTAATTCCAAGGACTCCAACCACTTGAGTAAGGAACAAGAACCAGTGGGAAAACTGGAAGACAGTTTGGCAGAAATCAGGTTTAAAGCAATTTTCATGCTATATAACCTCCATATGTAACTTTAGATACAAAATACAGCATAAACAAATTTGAACAGGGAAGGAGATGCCTTTTACCACTATAGTTGGAAACAATTCCTTGACCAAACAATGGATAGAGAGAATTATAGGAGAAAAAATGGACCATTTTTATTATATAAAATTAATTTTTTTTAACATAAACAAAATTAATGCTTTTAAATTTGAAGAGAATGAGTGAACTGGGAAAAAATCTAGCAAATGTCTCTGGCAAAGGTTTGATAATAAACGTATCTAGGGAGTTGATACAAGTATATAAGAACAAGAGCCATTCCCCAATAGATAAATGGTCACAGGATATGAATGTAGACTTCTCAAAAGAAAACCAGATTATTAACAATTTGAAAAATAACCCAAATCAATATAAGAAACACAAATTAAAGCAACCCTGAAATTCTACTTCATACTTATCAGATTGGCAAAGGATAAAGATAATTGTTTGAGGATCTTTAGGAGGACAGGCAAATTAAGGGATTTTATTTTTGCCTTTCTTTGTATCTCTAGTGCTTAGCACAATGCCTGGCACATAATACATGCTTAATAAATATTGGATTGACTCTTGACAGAGTTGTTAATTAATCCAAATATTCTGGAAAGCAATTTGGAATTATACCTTAAAAGTCCCTAAATTGTGCATACCATTTCATAGATACTCCAAAGAACTAAAAGAAAGGACCCATTTGTGTGTGTGTGTGTGTGTGTGTGTGTGTGTGTGTGTGTGTGTGTGTGTTAACAAAGAATTGGAAACAAAGTAGGTAGCTGTCAGTTGGGCAATGGCTGAAAAATCTTGTGATAATATTAACTGAATGGAATATTATTGTACCAGACATTTCATTTCCCACCTAGATGCCCTCATTTTGGACTTCTTTGGATTCTCTACCTTGCCTTTTTTCGAGTATCATTCTCTCTCCACCTTCTTTTCAGCTTTCTTTTGTGGTTTGTCTTTTACCATTAGACTGTAAGCTCTTTGAGGTCAGAGACTATCTTTTTCTTCTTTGTATCCACAATCCCCAGCAAATAATGAGTGCTTGATTATTATTTATTGAAATATTGTTATTTGTCCTTTATTCTCGAAGAGGACTATAACATCAGGAAGGTGATACCATGACTTGCAAGTGAATTGGATTTAAGTGAGGGAGGACTGTGCAAAGTCTCAGCCTCACTTTCTCCTCCAAAGCCATCTGGGTCCAGTAGCAAGATACAGATCAAGATGCGTAGGGATGGCCCCAGATGCAATAGGAAACTTTGGCCTTTTTA